CCCATCAACGCAGGATAGAGTCATTGCAAAACAGACGAAGATGAAAGCACGATATGACGTGAACACCCGACCACGAGTCGTCGCACCTAACGAAAGTGCTTACACGCGACTGGAGCACGAATAGAGCTGGTGTCCAGCGGTAGTTCGAACAAGCGAGGGGCAAATAGTGAAATTAGAGTTAGAAGATGGGAGAATTGTGCGTCGACATCTTGACCAAGTTCGCAGCCGTACGGACACAGCAAGTGGAGAGTTCGGAAATTTCGAATTGCCAGCAACCCTTGATAGGGATCTTGACATCCCGATGACTGAACACCTACTGCCTGCACAGAGCACTACGCCACCGACCGAGGCGTATGTTCCTCCTCCTCCTCCTCCTGGCCCGGCCAGCACTAGCTTAGGGACAGAGGAGCCAGTGACTGCACGAAACGGCGCAGAGGTAGAAAATACCGCCGTGAGAAGATCGACACGAATCCGCAAACCTGTCGAACGCTTCCAGGACGAATCTTATTAGAACATTTTCTTATTATCCATTATTACCTTTACTGTTACTCCTCCTCCCCTCCTCCTCATGCTGTCCACTTTAGGGTGGAGGGATGCAGCGTATCCTGTCCGGACCGTCAGGGCATCATGCCACAAGCACGTGACGAGCGAACGATCAATGTCATGACCCCTTTTCACACTTTCTTTGTGCTGATTGGCCACCCATCAGCCTATGACAGTTCCGCTTGCCATATGCCCGGCCGTTTCCCCAAGCTTCCTCACTTGTGCTGCCTATCGTACTCAGTACACGTCCTATTTCCAATTACCCTTCTGTTTTGCATACATAACAGGGTGTACTGAGTCAACTGTTAAAAGCCCGGTCATTAGGTCCTTTGCTAGGTGTCGCACAACATCGTCCATGCGGAAGAGCCAATGTCGTTTCCGACCAGTTTCTTAGATCCTCATAGAATGCCTTCTTACCCGAGCGCTCTTTCCTAACGTGCTTTATGCCACCTACGAATCTCTTTTCATCTCTTCGTAGTGAACAGTTATGTGTCCCCATTCAATACGATCTTTATTCAGCCCTTGATAATTTGTCACGCATACGTCGCTTAGAAGATCTGAAAGCCATGGAAATCGAAGTCATCTTATTAATTCCGTTAAGCCATACGTATCATATTGGAAACGATTGGCTTAACGGGGTCGCTGTTTTCACTTGAAAACTCCATTATAAAGGGCAAGTTACAAATTGCCATATTAGGTCGTTTTGTTTGCACTTTATATTACTGATATTTGTTGATAAGGTGACACCGACAAAGACAATGGAGACCGGAATGGCCATTTCTGGCTTATTAGCCGTCATCAGCCAGTCATACCCAACCCCAAGTGTGGATCACTTGGGGTTCGAACCCGGGATCTTTGGTCATGGAGTTTAACGCTCTACCATTGAGCCACGGGCCCGTTGTCCTGTCGGTTGTGATCGGGAATATCAATTATGACAGATGGGCGCTCACCGATCAGGTTACAGAACATGCTCGTTCTGTTGTGCCTTGAGGCTCACACTAGAACCCTCGCAGGCAGTCGCACAGCGACTAGTGATATATGTTGATAAGATGATACTGACAAAGACAAGGGAGACCGGAATGGCCATTTCTGGCTTATTAGCCGTCATCAGCCAGTCATACCCAACCCCAAGTGTGGATCACTTGAGATTCGAACCCGGGATCTTTGGTCATGGAGTTTAACGCTCTACCATTGAGCCACGGGCCCGTTGTCCTGTCGGTTGTGATATTATATCAGCAATTAAACATGCTCGGTATTTTATGTATGCTGGTGATCTCAAATGCGCTCCCTAAATGAAAGGTCCGGCGTCACTTTGAGTAAACTCATCCTGATCTGCTTCCTTTTTCTCATGAAGTTTCACATGGCTTATGGAGTTCATCCGTTCCAAATGTCTCTACATGTGTCCTTAACCTGAAAGGCCATTCCAGCCAGTCACTTTCCATGTATAGTACGTGCGCTAATCGTCTCGCCTTCAGGGGTCTTTTCGCCAGATCCTCCTGACTGCTTCGCTGAAGGACCCATAAGGAAGTATTCGCCGATCGATTGGTCATGTTGATTTATAGACATATTTGCACAATAGTCCAGGCAGTCAGCTGTCAGATAGCGATGGGAATGAGAGTAGTTTACTGACAGACATAGATAAGTACACAGTAAGCAACAGGATTACAGACGCAGATAATATCCTAAACGAGTCAATCACGAAGGGGTCTATCGGACAGTCAATCCCGGATCAATATTTGAGCGAACCAGGGGGGCGTAGAGCTGGAAGCCGCTACGGGGAATGGAAGATAGTCTCCAACAGTCAACTCTAAAGTCATAAAAATACTGCTGATGTTCTGTCTCATCTTCGGATGTCACTTTAGTTAAATAAAAAAGGATCAGTTCGCCTTTGCCCATCACACATGACACGTCTAGTACCATATATTCCACCACCATGGATCTAGGCATAAGTTAAACCAATAGTCTAGATCTCTCGTTGCTCGTCGACAGAATAAAGGTCAAAGTTTGCGGCTTTATCTCATGTAATTATTACCTTCCTGAAAATAAATTAAGATATTGTCGCATATTTTTTCTTCTCATCCTTGGAGATCGCAGCCCACTATTTGCTTAATGCGTGAGTCTAATCGTTCTAGAATTGGAAACATCCGAAGACATATAACTAGAAGGCCGCCAGCTTCGACGCACCCACGTAACTCGTAATTGAACAGGCGTCGGCTAACTAACCCATTTTTTCTATGGGTTGGGAGGCTGTAAGATGGCATCTCTCTCATTTTCTGCGTCAACAGTAGTCCAAATCTTCCTTGGACTCCGGTCCCTGCTGATGTTTTTTATCCATACCTTATTCGCGAATTCTATCTGATTATCCCTCCCTCCCTCCACCCACTTCACTTACTCCACCTCTAAACACTCTGTCTTATTTCCATCCAGGCGTGTCTTCTTCTACAGTTAACTGTCAATCGCTAGTGAGTAATCCAATAATCTATCCGCTTTTAACACAAGACTGTACCTTCATCTGAACACCGCCCCATTCCCTTTTGACTTCATCATCCTTCCTGAGCAGCTTTCCCAATGATTCGACGAAGGGTCTTGGGAGTTCCAGGAGATCGTCTACAAATTATCCGGTCCAGTTTTCTTTTCCTCTCCGCATGTGATTAACTTCGTCACGATTTTTCATCTAAAATTTCGATTTTCACAAATTTAGGCATCGTCACCTTCACGTAATACAATGATCCCACTAACCCACCTCTTAAACTAGTAATCAGGGTCATCTTGACGCACAAGTTCCAGACCGCTTCTGGTTCGCTGGTCGCCTATTATTATTATTATTATTATTATTATCATCATCAGGGTTTCACTCTGGTTACTGGGAAGTCGGGATTTAACCCCGTGGTTAATCTCGCCATAGGTGTGCCACAACCTAGAATGCCCGAACGCACTACAGTGACGCGCTGTACTTATTTGCTGATCTGTTTTTACAGTTGCGCTATGTCCTTATGATGAAATGACTGCTCTTCCATGTTCCTCCGCGGGCAGCTCTTTCTCCTCAGCATTGTGATTGAAAGAGTGGCTTCCTCGAACTCTGCCCGCACGTCCATTTCTGGAGTTTTTTTCAATGCCTCGCTCAGAGTCTATCGTCTTATTTAAAAACCTTAAATTTTGGAATATGTAAACGTTATTATTATTAACGTCGTATGAGAAAAGACAAATCATTGTCGGAAATCTAAAACTTTGCCTACATTACTTAACATAATACGCAAACACAATTGCATAATTGGCTGATCAGAGAGAGAGAGAGAGAGAGAGAGAGAGAGAGAGAGAGAGAGAGAGAGTTCAAGTATATCACTGATATTAGTATTTTTTCATTTACTTCAGTGCTCATTCTGCATTGATATGACCCCCAGTAACTGTACAATAAAATAACAATTACCCCACTTCTCCGGAAACGAAGGACAGGGATGTTGTTAACTTATGATAATCTTATTGCATGGTTATATCGACAAGATAGTACTCACACTATCTGTGGTGCAGTATTATGAACCGGTTGATTTGGAAATAATAGGGAAACAACCCTTCGAACTGGGTTATGGTCCAGTCCTTCCCACTTTGGCAAAACCCTTAGGATCAGGCCATTTACTGGCGGGGGTTCATTGAGACTGGATGTATTTGTGCCTCATCATTGCTTCGACCTGAAAACATCAGATGGGCTACAGAATTTAAAACTAAGCTTATCCTAACCCTGTGGGTCGAAACAATTTTAATTAACATGCCGGACAGAAATTTTAGAAGCCGTCATTGACATGACTTGATTATATGATAAATAAGCAACAGAAATACAAGATTATAAGCCATCCTTGTCATAAGGTCATTTTTGTCCACCAACGGCCATAATCAAAATAACCCGCATGTACAACAGTAGTTCAGCAGACTCTAGGACAGACGACATGGCCTTTATTTCTACTCAGAAACAATTGCACTGGGCAAGAGATAAAGGGGTCATATACGGCCTGCTTAGTGAAAATAATATAAAGGCATAATTTGAAAAGCACAAATATGCCAATGAATATTTAGATGATTTTGGTTGTTATGACTTGCCTTACCCTGTTTTGAACCTCCCGAATGAGGGTGGCATATGTATGTATGTAGTTAACTGTTACGGGCGGAGCCCTTGCTAATCTTCTGAATGTACAGCTGGGATATAAAATGCAATTATACACAGCCAGCATGGAATATGGTCGTTTTTAAGGTTCACGGGCACGTTTTACATCGGACGCGCCATCATGTGATACATGAAAAATGAGACCAAGAAACGAAGTCCATATCTGGGTTATCTTACAGAAGGGCGTTAACCCAGTTTGGAGTCCGTGGACGCCCAAGTTTGAGAACTTTGGGAACGTCAGCCTGTTTAAACCTTGATTGGCTGGGAGGAATATAGGGCGCTTGCACGCACACCTTTTAAAATGGCCGCCGTGAAGCCGCAGCCAGCCATAATGGAGAAGGACGAGGAGGCTGATACAGATGTTCATCCACTACAATACGCGTAAGAAATTTTTCTAATTGTTCATAAAAATCATCCATTGTGTGCACGTTTGTCCTTGAAGCCATGTGCAACCCCTAACTCGACCACACGGCCGATACGTTGCGCTTCACACGTTCACGTCCGAGTTTTGTCGTGGCAACACAGTCCATGCTTAGATAATGACTGACACGGTCGGGTTTTTGAAGTTTACCGGGTGGTCCAGGTTGACTTATTTTACGTTTGCGCTTCTCTAACACTCCACTCTTCACATTTTGGTAGGCGATGCTTAAACTCTTAAGTTCCACCACTCGTTTTCGGTTTTACAATGTTAATTGTAACCTTGGGGTGGGGACACCCAGCGTGTGGAGGGTCCAACTTTGATCCACTTACGATATTCGCCTTGAAGTGCCTTAGGGGTCGCGTTGACCGCACTTTATGTTGCCTAGTTTTCTGACTACTGTAGGTCTTTTGCAGATTAACCATGCTCTTGCGATTTTGGTTGGAGTTTACCTCGGTATACTTCCAGCCCAATTTGGAATCAACTTGTGGGTTGCCAGACTGAGCAGTTAGGCCTGAGACTGACCTCCCAGTTGCTCATGGCGTATGCCAGCATAGCTGCGTCTACCACGTGTACGAGTCAACCAGTATTCGTTTCTGACCCACAAGACAGACCTGTTTTGCCCAAGTGATTTTCAAGATAGTTCTCTCCAGGTTAGTTATTTTTATCAGCACATGTCGTGATATGCAATTTTAGTATGATTGCAACTGCGTCGCGAAACATGAACGTATGTCAATGAATGTTTGTAGTGAATGTGGCCAGGGTATCCCGGTTCACAAGATACTTCATGCACAATTGAGGAGAGGACGGTTTGGGACCGCTTCTGAGCTTGAGGATTTGCTCGATCCCTTGTGGCTCACCTGTTAAACTGCCTACTATTATTTGTTGCTGCTGACTCGCCGCTTTGAAAGTCCCCCTTCCTAGTAGGTGACTTAATACGTCGTTCCGTAGTACTTCTGTTTTACGACAGATTAACATCTACGTATACTTTTTTATTGGTTCTGTTTTTCGCAAAAGACTTGGCACATTCTGAAGTTTCGAAAGAGTTTCAGGTTACCGAAAATTTCTCATGATTGCCATCATTAATAACTTCCAGTGATTCGTGACCAGGCTCCTCAGTCCAACTCGTGTTAGCTTCATATTTGATCCCTTTTACAATGCACTCATCAGACTGTTCATTTCTTGCCTCTGCGTAACTAGGTACTAAGGCATACGCATTTCTGTTTCTTCAGGTGGAACTTCTTTGTATTCTCGTACTCTGCTGGAAGAGGATGGGAGGATAATATGCAAAAGATAGCCGTGTTTGACACCGTTGAGCACTTCTGGAGCATTTTGACTCACACCCTCCCGCCGTCTGAAATAATGAATGGAACCGATATCTATATATTCAAAGATGGAATCCAACCTATGTGGGAAGACGAAAGAAATCGCAACGGTGGGCGATGGCTTATTAATGTCCCAAACCTTGAAATGCTGGACACGTACGTTGCAAAAGTTGCCCACCTTTTTCCACATCACCTAACTGCACTCTTGCCACAACTGCTTTTAGTCATTCGTTTCGGTTCCATCTGTAAGAGTTGGGGACCTAAAACAGGACCGCCTACCGTCCCCTGCTCACACTTCATCATGGTTTACCGTGTTCCGTCATCACCGGTATTGCCTATCACGGGCTTTCGTGCCGTCACTTCACCAGACGTAATCGATTTGCTGTTGCCCTCATCTGCTACCAGTTCGGTTCATGCGGCCTGTCTGCGACCAGTCCTCCATGGGACACTAAATCGCATGTCTCAGTTAGATTGATTCATGCCTCTATACCATGGACGCAGGTCTTGCCAGCATACCCTTTCATTTCAGAGATTATTGTAACGGAGAGTAGCGAAGCGTCACGCGGCAAATTGAAGGGTAGAAAGGGTTTATAAGCCACCGACTAACTACCCGACCAGTCCTATCAACCGCCATGCAGTGGGGGTGTTCTTCGTTTAACGTAAGGTTGGGTCGGCGATCCGAGCCAACCACCCAAGGGTTTAAAGAAGTAGAACACAGATATAATGTAGGTGTGATCTCAAACATTTTTTAAGATAGAAACGGGGTTGATTTATCTAATTCTACGCTTTAGTTGAATCTGTACGGTTAACTACCAGCTAATACGTTATTCTCTCATTCCTGTCCACATCCTTTCCAGAAGACGGCGCCCTATTTTCGATTCCACACCATTTGCAGTAGTTCGTGTCATTTGTCTTCGAGTATGTGCTCCTCTTAATTCTCCCAGGAATTCGACTTAGTCGGAGTGGTTGCCGTTGACTATTAAAGTTGACCTGGTTGGAAAGACTGCTGACCAGGCGGCTTTTAACTACAGGACTAAAAAATCACTTCGTCCAACCACCCGTCTTTCAAACTTTCTGACGGCCGCGATTGTGGGAATGGTAACAATCACGTCTATTAATTATTGCTGCGTCTGAGGCGCGTCGAGACATACAAGTTTCGGCTTAGGAAAACTCAGCTTTACCCTTCTGATGCATCTCGCATGTACTTATGGCATTTCGAACTTACAATTTTCCTCCCCATGTCATTTGGCTTTTTAAAACGGAGCCATTAACTTATTCCTTTCCCACTACTCGTTCTTTTTAGTTACTGGGAGGAGTTGCTGATGCTAATAATTGGCAATGACTGGGAGACTGAAGCCGAGTCAGATCAGGTCTGCGGAGCTGTCTTTCAACGGCGCGCCAGAGGTCCGAAGATTAGCCTATGGACAAGCGACTCTGAGGACGAAGCCACTGTAATGCGCATCGGTCGGCGTGTGAAGGCGCGCCTCAAGTTCCCCGATAGACTTGCATTCCAAACAGTATACCAACAACAGAATGTTCCTAAGGGCCGGGACTCGGACGAGGGGAAGTACTTTGTTTAGACGCGTTCCATCGACACAGACCGCTCTGCGGCCTAGGGTCTACAACCTCTCCCATTGTACATTGCTAAATTGTCCAGTTCCTTCAAACTCGTCCTTATTCCGTTGAATCCATTGTGCACTCTTTGGAGTTTGCTGTCACGTTTGTTCCTTCGTTTATTTTCGTTCCCCGATTTAGGTCGCGTGCTGTTCACAGATACGAAAAACAATATACGCCAGAGTTCGTTGGATTTGCAGCGATTGCTGGTACTTATCACGATCTGCTATGCACGAGTCCCTCGCGCTCGGCGTATTGAGGTCTGCGAAGCTGGGGCTAGTAAGTGCTACGCACGTGCGTGCGGTCAAAGATAACCGTCTCGAACGCGCGCTCCGCCTTATCTAGCGAGATTTGGCCCAGGTATGGGTATGTCGGTAGATAGAGCTTCATCGTGTTTCCTTCACTGACACCGGCGCCGAGTGTGGGTTATCCGTGTATCCCATAGTTATCTGTCTGTGCGCGCCGCAGCCCAGGTTGAGTCGAATCCTCTTCCATCCGGTGCAGCACTGTCTCGGCGCTAATCCGAGGACGCCCGATAGACAGCCAGCGAACGTCGGTTCTGACTTGGCGGGAATTCGCTTGACCTTGTCGACCTGTCGAATTTCACTGCCTGTGCCTTAGGACAAGTCCGCTCCGGTATGGGTTGTATGTGTACCTTGACATGAAGCATTATTCGGCATACGCAAGCCGCACGTGTAGTCTCTCACTGACTCGCTCGACTGCACCTCGTGTTGACGCTGCGTTAACTCAGCTTAGCCTCGCACAGGGTCGATTTTCACGGTGCCCGTGCATATTGATGACCATGCGTAAGAGTCAGACTGGACGTGCAAATTGTTAGCGCCGCTCGTCGACCCTTGAGTTCGTAAAGTGAATTTTAAGGTGGGGACCGTTGTTCTCTGTGCGGATCCATGGCACCTCCATTCCTGTGCCACCACCGACGATAATCTTGTCCGTAGATGAGATATTTCGAAATATCAAATCAAGTAAAACGGCACAACGACACCTCTTAGCACTTTTTCGACTGCCGGATGGTGTCATGTTTGCTGTCTTCTTCCTGTGCGCAG